TAATAAAATGAAGACGTCTTTTATTAAATTAATGACACATATATTTAATTCCTTATTTATTTAATGAATTACACATTTAATTAATTGTTTATCGCTGTATTTATTTATTTAATTGTGGCACTTTATATTAGTGACGTGGTTTTAATTAATCAATGACACATTTATTTATTTAATTCCACATTTAATTAATTATTGACACACTTAATGCTGTGTTTATTTATTTAATTTTGGCACTTTTTATCCTCCATAGATCAATGCCCAAATTGCCGCAGCCACATAATTATAGATGCTTCAGGTATCCTCCAAACCTAAACAGCAGAAATCTGAGTATAATAAATCTGAAAATCCAAACATCTTTAATTTCCTCCACTAACAACTTTCCAGAAGTCCATGAAATCAACCTTACATGATGTATATTCATAATAATTAGGTTACCTTTATGCAAACATTCATTTGTTTCCATTTTGATCAATTATACTTTATTAATTCAGCATATATAAACCTGGCAGTTATGTGTTTTAATTAAATAAGCTATATTGAATGGATGATTATGCTTCATGTAAGGATTATTTAATAGGTTTGTCTTAAAATGATCTTAGAAAATAAATGGGAATTAGTTCTGTAATAAATTGACATATATCTTAAAGATTGAGGTTGACTGCTGGATAAAAGATGGCAGACCGTCTGTTTGGGTTTTTTAGTAGATTGATGAGGTTCTGATAAAACGGAGGCGGACCTGCTCTATCTCAGGGTTGTTCTGTTCCAGCTGGTTAGTGAGCAGAACCGGAGGGTTTCCTCTCCGTGTGGCGTTCTGCGGTTCAGCCAAGCAGACTGAACACGCCTCAATAATTAAACTCCAGCTCATTTATTATTGGTCAGCGTGCAGCAGGAACCATCAGTGCATAACTTTACCGCCGCTCTGTCCACAGCCTCCTCCCTGATGGCCCACCGCTTCGTGACGGTGCGCCGCGGCAGCCCGGCGGCTCGCAGCGGTCAGATCCAGCCCGGAGATCGGCTGGAGGCGGTGGAGGGCCGACCGGTCGGCGGCCTGCAGCACAGAGACCTGTCCCAGATCCTGAGGAGGGCGGGGAACACGCTGAGGCTGAGCATCACGCCCAAACAGCGTACGGACGCACACACACGAAGTCCAACACACCGTACACACGAAGCTCACGCCTTCCTCTCCTCCACAGAGTCTTCCTCAGACGGAGCCGACCTGGACACCAATGGACGCCTGATCAAAGGGCCCAGAGGGAGGTCAAAGGTCACATTTGTTTAATTATGTCTTCCAGTAGATGAGATTTGGAGAGAAATCTGAAGTTTTGTCTAAAAGGCTTCAAATCATCCTGAATATTACAACAAAGCATTAAAACCAAACACTGTCAGGGACCGGGGGGGGGCGCAATATTTCCTCATACATAAATGTAAATAAATTAACCATGAAAGGAATAGATTTAACATTTATTGACTAAAACTCTGATTTAAATATAACGTGCCGTTAGATTGTATAAATGATTAAAGAGCAGAATCAGCTGTTAGCATCTTTAGCTTTAGTCTTTGAAATGGAAAATAAATCTGTGTTTAAATCTTTAAGCTTTTTCTCTTTTCCTGAGAAGAGAACAAACTCTTTAGATAACACTTCATGATGCACATGTATTAGATAACTATGAGGCCTGTTCAGGGTTACAGAAAGCATTTTATATTCTCCAGTTTCATCACAGCATTAGGTTTTAACAAGCAGATACATAAATAATAGAAAATAATCCTAACAACTGCTAAAAAAAGGTGAATATGTTTCTTTTACTAAATGGATGTTATTTTATCATTGTTTAAACTGTGGGAATAAATCTGGGATAAATCCTCCTGGAACTAATTAAACTCAAATCCAAGCTCCGACTAAAACCAAAGTCAGATTAGGAAAAAACTGCTTCCGGGTTGTTCCCCATCAGCCGGAAGGAAAATAATGAGCATCAATAAGAAATGCAGGTTTAGGTCTACTCTAGCCTTCAACCTTAACGAGCTGCTAACCTTAATGAGCTGCTAACCTTAATGAGCCGCTTTCCTTAACGAGCTGCCAACGTAACGACCTGCTAATATTTAATGAGCTGCTGACCTAATCAGCCTTCAACCTTAACGAGCCGCTTTCCTTCACGAGCTGCTGACCTTAACGAGCCGCTTTCCTTCACGAGCTGCTGACCTTAACGAGCCGCTTTCCTTAACGAGCCGCTAACCTTAACGAGCTGCTGACTTTAACGAGCTGCTAACCTTAACAAGCTGCTTTCCTTAACGAACTGCTGACTTTAACGAGCTGCTGACTTTAACGAGCTGCTAACCTTAACGAGCTGCTAACCTTAACGAGCATCTTTCCTTAACGAGCTGCTAACCTTAACGAGCATCTTTTCTTAACGAGCTGCTAACCTTAATGAGCCGCTTTCCTTAACGAGCCGCTTTCCTTAACGAGCTGCTAACCTTAACGAGCTGCTAATATTTAATGATCTGCTGACTTTAACAAGCTGCTAACCTAAATGAACTAAATGTTCGTTTTGGAGAATGAAAGAAAATCCAGGTGTCTGTAGGGAATCTACCTGTACAGGTTAGAACCTTAACTGGTACCATCAGTACCAGTTAAAGCGGAGAGATGAAGGGTCTGGTCGGCTGAAGAGCAGAGGTCTCAGACTGTAGCTGACTGGATCGCAGTGGGATGCTGGACATGCTGGGATGTTCTCAGTGGAACATCTAAAGCTGAGTGAAATAGATCGTCTCTGTCAGTGACGATCTGGAGCTTCAGTGAGCAGAAAGAGTGGAGATCAGGTGGTTTTCTCATCCTGTTGGTTTGGTTTAGTGATGCTGTGATCCACCAAGCAGAGGGAGGTCCAACGGTCCTCCAGGAAACAGCCGGACCTTCTCCTGTTCCACTGGGACTAGGAGAAGGTCCAGATCCTAGGACTTCATTGAAAGAACCTCAGCTGTCATAAAAACCAAAGGACTGGCGGGAAGATTATGGATCATGACTGCTTTGCTTTTCACCCACCGGATCAGAACCAAATATGGTTCCTTTAGTTCCGTCTGCAGGGTCGTAGATAAACTGGTCCCAGATTTATTCCCAGTTGTTCCAGTAACCTCCGGCAGTTTCTATGGTCCCAGCAGCCTCTTGGTTCTGTGTTCCAGGATGAGTCCAGGTTCTACAGCGTGGATCTGGAACGCGGCCCCACAGGGTTCGGCTTCTCCCTGAGGGGGGGCAGCGAGTACAACATGGGCCTGTACGTCCTGGGGCTGATGGACGGGGGGCCGGCCCAGCGCAGCAACAGGATACAGGTACACACACACACACACACACATGTTGTGTCACAATATCCTTGTGGGGACCTTCCATTGACTTCCATTCATTTCCCACTAATTTATATGGCCTAACCGTGACCCTTGCCCTAACCCTAACCATTACCGACCCATACCTATCCCTAAACCTAACCTAAACTCAATTCACACCTTAGTCCTAAACCTAACCCCCACCCCAAGAAGAGAAACTTTCCTTATGGGGACCAGTTGTTGGTCCCCACAAGTACCTATGAGTCCCCAAAATGTAGCATATTCCTAGGAAATTGTCCCCACCAGGTATTAAAGACATGGCCACACACACACACACACACAGACGTATATCCTGGTTATCCTCCCGCCTCAATGTGTCGCAGGTATGATGCAGATATTTTTGATTTATGCTCAATATTGAAGCGTGGCCTGCACTATGTTATTCCACGACGCAAAGCAAGAGGGACAATCAGGAATTAGCTGTGGGTCTAGATACGGCCGAGGCGGCGAGGAAGTGGGGGCAAGTTTGTGTGATAATGG